GGGAAATACTAATACAGTCTCTTTGGAAAGAAGTATGAAGACTCTTCAAAGAACTCAAAATAAACTTTCCATTTGTTCCATAAATCCCATTACCCCGCATGAACCCAGAAGAAAAAAATCCTTTTTTTAGATTTGATAAATGTGTCTTATCATAAAGATATTTGCACTAGATTGTTTATTACAGCTCAATTTACAATCACCAAAATGTGGAAACAACCTAAATGCTTATCAATCCAGAAATGAATTAACAAACTGGTTTATGTATATCATGGAATACTCTGCCCCCATAAAGTAAGATGGAGACTTTACATCTTTTGTATTTACCTGGATAGAGTTGAAACATATTCTTTTGGCCAGGCATGGTGGCTCACCCCTATAATCCTAGCCCTCTGGGAGGCTGAGGTGGATGGATACCTGAGCTCAGGAATTTAAGACCAGTCCAAGCAAGAGCAAGACCCCTTCTCTAAAAAATATCCAGGCATTGTAGTGGGTGCCTGTAGTCCCAGCTACTCAGGAAGCTGAGGCAAGAGGATCATTTAGCCCAGGAGTTGAAGGTGCTGTTAGCTATGATGTCATGATTGCACTCTCCCAAGGGTGACAAAGTGAAATTCTGTCAAGAAAAAAAGAAAGGAAAGAAAGAACATTTTTTCAGTAAAGTATCAGAGAATGGAAAAGCAAATAACCAATGTACTCAATACTGATATGAAACCAGTAGATGATCTAATACACACCTATACAAAAGAAAAATTCAATTCAATTCCAGATGAGATAGGGTGAAAGAGGAAGGGAGGAGAAAAGGAGAGGAAGGGGGATTGATGTGCTCCCACTTCATGAGCACAGCATAAGGGTACATGGCACATCTTTTGGATGCAGAACACAACTAGAATAGAGACTCTACCTGACAAATGCAAACATTGTAACCTAATCATTTGTACCCACACATTAATCTAAATTTTTTTTAATCCTGAAATACCTGACAAAGACTTAAAAGTCAGGTGCTGAGCAGTGAAGACAATGCTACAGATTTGACCCTTGATATGCCATGGCTAAATATCTGGCAAAACTGTTAATTATGATATCTTGGAAGCAAACCGTTTGTTTACCAGTCCTATAACTCCTGGACAAGTGGTTTGAAAGTCATTATCCTGGTGTGCATTGGCTACTTTTTTGCCCTTGTTGAAGCTGAGTAAGAGAAATATTAATTTAGATAAAAGCTAATGAGTTTGTGAGCAAAGATGAAAAGTTCTGATAAGGGAGACTTTCTCCCCCTGCAGCCTACAATCTAAATTGAGAGTCTAGTAAATTAGTCTCTCATGATTTTAAAAATGTTAACTGTTTCCATCCTCCAAGTACCAAAAGATAATACTTTGGACCTAAGATTTTCTCAAAAGCCTCATATTAAATGCTCTCTGCTAGATGGGAGCAAATTTAACGGCAAAGATCTGATTGAAGTGTTGCCTTCCCACCCAAACTTCTTGTTTCAGATGGCCTTATAGTATCCTTCATTAAATAGGGGGTGATGTAGGAAAATAGACTGAGTATAGAAAACAAAAAATAAAGTAGTCAGAACTATGGTTAGACAAGACCTTTTGTTATAGTGTTGATATGGGAAACAGGCTGAAAGGAAAAAACATGAAGCCCTTTCTCCTGGAACCCAAACTCTAAGAGCTTATAAGACGTTGAGATACATACATATTTATATGATATACATATACATATATATATATATATCCCAATATTGAGTACAGATGTGACAGACCATGACAGAATTCTCTTTACCACTATTATGGTGAAGTTGTTACCTGAAGGAAATATTTTACTTGCAGATTAAGAATAATGTATTTTATTCAGATTTCTGTTTGAGGGGTTTAAATATGAATTTTGTAGTAATATTCAATTCACAATAAACAGTACTAAAAATTTTATTTTATAGTGATTGTTGAGGGTACAATATCAATGTAAAGAATAACATGTAATTTTGATGGAATCAGTCAAGTTGTCATATCAGTTAGGTTAGTTATTCAGGGATCAAAGAGGACAAAACTCAAAATTTCCTTTCCTCCACTTTTTCACACATGTACATCTATAATTTAATCTGGGCTAAGAAGGGCTAGACTTTCTCTATAAAGGTGAACTAACTTAAGCAGCCCTTACCTATCCAGGTATACATCATCTGAGGCCAGATACACTATCTGGATCACTATGACGGTCTAAGGAAATTTAAACCTTAAATTGGGTAAGGTAATCCCTCTCTAGTTTTCCAGGATCTACTTAATAAGCTAATGGAAATATTTTCTGTACAACCTTAAGTTATTCCTACAAATAATTTTTTGGAATTTAATACTTTGTTAAAGGTAAATAACTAAAACAAAATTGCAGCCACAAATTAAGCCTTGAATATGGAATTATAAGGTGTATATTCTAAGATGGCCATGCTTACTGCATTTAAAGAAATAAAAATTAACCTTGAAAATACCCGAAAAAAATAAGAATTAAAAAGTGACACGGCTTGAAAAAGAACCAAATAGACCTTCTAGACATGAAAAATACAACAGAAGTTAAGAGTTCAATAACAACAATAGAGTCACTTGAAGCTTTATCATTAAAATCCAATACAGTAAAACCTCTGTAAACTGACCACCCAAGGGACTGTAACAAACTGGTCAACATACAGAGGTGATCAACATAAGGAACTAGGTCTACTGTACTGATACATACATATGGCATATGCCAATTCAATGAAAATTAGGTCAACTTAAGGAAGCTGTCAATTGTAGTGAGGTGGTCAACTATAGAGGCTCTGCTGTATTTTAATTTAATGTTGTTTTATAGATGCTAGCCAATGCAATTAGAAAAGAGAAATTACAGATATAAAATTTAGAAAGGAGTGGTTAAAAATATCTAGAAAACCCAACAACCTACTATAATTTCTATAAACAATAATTTCGTTTTAAACTAAATACAAAATATTACATAGAAATCAATATTCTTCATATATACAAACAACAACCAGTTATAAGATAAAGAAGGAAAATATTTCATTTATAAAGGCAAAAAGAGTAAAAAAAATTAAATACTTAAAATTAAGTTTAATAAGACAAAATCAATTTGAAGAAAATTTGAAAACACTTCTGAAGCATACAAATAAAAAAAGCATGCCCTGCCCTTGAGTAAGAAGATCTAATATACTAAAGATGTTAATTCTTCCTATATTATTCCATGAAGTATAGATAATCCCAATAAACTAGCATACCAAGCATAATTCTGATTCCAAAATCCATGTAGAAAAGTTAAACAAGTAAGAGTAGCCAAGAAATAATGAGGACAGACTAGCTCAATCAAATATAATAATCATAGTACAACTTAAAAAAAATTAAAAACAAACACAAACATTTTTAGGAATTTAGCAAATTCCTAAAGTAGGCACTTCAAATCACTGAAGGGAGTGGATTATTCAACAAATGTCATTAGGACAACCAGGTGACAGGTAAATTAAAAATTAAATTTATTTTAAAGCATGGAAATATTAGAAGAAATTATGTGAGAATTTTAAATGATCTTGGAATGGAGGTGATATTTCTACATATGGCACAAATTGTAGAAGCCAACAAGAAAACATAGACTTACACAACCATATTAAACAGGGAATAAATAAAATCAAATCACAAGGGCTAGTTTTCTTATTATATAAAGAGCCTCTACAAACCAAATTTTAAAAGATCAGAAGCCCATTTTCCATAAAAATGGGTAAAGAATATAGTTCACAAAAACCAAAATTGCTCTCAAATATAAAAAGAGGTGACTCAGAATATCAAAATGTGAATTAAATGAATTAGATGTAATTTTTCATCTGTAATACTGCAAAGATTCTCAGGATACAAACTCTCAAACATTGGAGGGCAATTTGTCAATACCTATCAAAATTATAAATCATAGACCCATTTATATTGACACAACAACTCCATTTAGATGAAATTATTCCACATATTTGTAGAATCATATGTTACATAAACTCAGCTTTATAATTACAGTAAAAGATTGGAAATACTGTAGATATCCACCATCACTGAAGTACTGGTGAAAATTTTATGAAACATTTATTAAATGAAATAATCAGAAAAGAATTACTAACATAGAAGGATCTCTAAAATCCACCAAGTTTTTAAAAAAGGAAATGGCAGAACAGTATACAAAATATGGGAACTAGGTAGCTGGAATACAGGAATGAGAACATTTTAAATTATGTATTTAAATGAATACTTCTAAATTACATACCATGTGAATGTATTGGCTATTCTACTAATTTTTAATTTAAAAATTAATAACATATGAGTACATAAGTCCATATTGTATTTAACTCTTTACAATTTTGACCGTGTAATGGGGGAGAGTAGTGGGTAGGGAAGTATTTATGGAAAACTGTAGAGTCCAAGGAAGTTTTGTTTTGGGGGGAGGTGTGCTTTAAATTACATTGCCTATATTCAACTGGCTTTTACTTTTTAAAGTGTCGGTTTCATATAGTTCAATCAACAAAAAGATTAGACATACTAGTTCATACATACTTGTATGATAGAAAATTCCAGTTGAAAGCAAGAGATTGATAATAGTATGGGAGAAGAGTTACTCAAAAAGTGATGTTCTTAAGAAAGGATTGCAGAAAAAAAAATGGATTGCAGGAGGCTTTGACAGAAGAGCTACTTCATTCTTGCAGGACCTCGAAGGAAGAGATGCTTACACAGACAGGCAGATTAGCAAATTTGGTGGCAGGAAAGCCATGGCATTTGTTTATGGGGGCCTTGGGAATGTATGCAGTGAGTTTATGAGTGAGAAGTACAACTTGTGAAATCAACAGAGATTTTAGGCTCTTGTAACAATGTTGGCTTATCTGTATACATTTAAATTGCTTTGTAACATGCAGACGTTTCTAGAAAGTATTAAGTACATAAAAGTTTAGATGAATATTTCTTTGTAGGTTACTTAAAACTTTTTTTTTAACTTAGGACCTCCAGTACTAGTTGATCATCAGGGATCTGGTGAAAACCTCTTGAAGATACCAGAAAGTAAAGAGGGCATTAATTATACTGCTACCAGAACTACTGTATGCCTGTCTTTTCTCATGAGCCTTCTTTTAAAGAATTCCTACCCTGTTCTTCTCACAGGTATTAAAAATATTTAACAGGAGGTGAACCTCAGAGTTAGGAGAAGGTTTAGACTGAGATTATTTTGTAAGTGGGTAAAAAATTGCCCGGAAAATTTTGTTACTATATCAATTTATATTGTTACCAACAGTATATGAATGCCCACTTCCCCACATGTTTACTAATAGAGGACATTATAAATCCTTTTTTATCTTTGCATTACCTTTAGTGCAAATTACAGAAGTAGAACTACTGAATTAATCTATGTTTGGCCTCCATAGCCTTTGCACTGAGGTGATAATTGGTAACATCATTGGTTTAGTTAAATTTATATGCAAGTCCTTAACCCAGTATTAAAATATTTCTCTTACCATTATCAAGGGAGTAATTTGATACATTTCCTACTCTTTAACACATATTTCAATTCATTGATTACTTTTTCTAATTCTTTAACTTATGTTGCCCATCACCAGTGGCAATAGTATTGCTTTCCCAGTTCCATATTCAAGAGTACAAGCAATGTAACTCTCAAATAATCTGTATCTTGTTGCTAATTTGGTCTAAGAAATTTTTGTTTTGATTTTAATATTTAGCAAATTGTAAACTCAAGAATTCCTCTTCTGGTTCAATAAGGAGCTTATCATCAAATTTCTCCCTCAGATTGTGTTAGTAAACAGAATCAAGGAATTGCATTTTATAGAGTACTTCTATTGTGCTATACAATCAAAAAGGTTTATGATAAGCCTAAATGAACATTACATCAAAATAATGCCTAACTCCTAATCCATGGAGTTACAGCTTTGTAAAAGATGTAAATAATTCCAACAACTTGAGAGGGTTTCATATCAACTCCCTAATTTAGCCACTCTTAACCATATTTTTGAAAGGGAATAACAAAAATATATTTTTCATATAATTTTCAGATGAAGGAAAATGTTATTTTAATATGTTAAAATGTGTCACTTCTTGCTTATAAATCTAACCTAATGCTTCTTTTCCCCTTAGGAGAATCTGGTGTTGGGAAAACTGCTGCCATTAACCAAATGCTTGAAAACTTAGAGGATTCAGGAGCATTTGATATAAAATATGGCTCAATTTTGGGAGATGTCCTATTATATAATGAAATTAAAAAATCAAGGTTGTATATATTAAGCACTGAATTTGATTTGTTTGGTAAAAATGTTTACTGTACTATATAAATGTGCCTTGTTATTAAAAAGAAAATCTGTTATGTAAAAATGCAGAATTGTTGAAAAGAGAAAATGAAAACTTTTTCCTAATCTCTCATTGATTTTCTTAATTTAAATTTTTATTTTTAATTGAAAAATCATAAGTGTATATATTTATGGGGCATAATGTCATATTCTGATATATGTATGCACTGTGGATGATTATATCAACTAATTAACATATCCATCACCTGAGACACTTATCATTTTAGTACTGAGAACAATTAAAACCTACTTTCAGTGATTTGAAATATATAATATTTTTTATTAATGACAGTCACCATGCTGGGCAATAAATATTGAAATCTTACTCTTCTTGTTCAACTGAAAGTTTGAGCAACATCTCCCCATTTCCTCCCTGCTTACCCCCAGCCCCTGCTTCTACTATTCTACTCTATTCTATCTATTCTAATCTCACAAGTGAGATTATGCAGTATTTGTTTTTCTGAGCTTGTTTCATTTAGCATAATGTTCTCCAGGTTCGTTCATGTTGCTGCAAATGATAGTATTTCATTCTTTTTTAAAGTTGAATAGCCTTTCATTATATATACATATGTATATGTATATACACACACACATGTATTACATTTTATATTACATTTTTAATCCCTTCAATTGATGGGCACAAGTTGATTTCATAACTAGACTATTGTGAATAATTCTGCCGTGAATGTGAGAGTACAGATTTCATTTCTTCTGAATGAAGAAGTGGAATCACTAAATCATATGGTAACTCTATTTTTAGTTTTACAAGGAACTTTCATACTATTTTCTGTAATGCCTGTACTAATTTACATTCTCACCCCACCTGTGTACAGGATTCTCTTTTTTTCACATCCTCACCAGCATTTATTATTTTTTACCTTGTGGATAATAGCCATTTTAACAGGTTTGAAGTGATAATGTGTCTCACTATAATTTTAATTTGCATTTCCCTGATGTATACTGATATTGAGCATTTTTTTCACAAACCTGGTGACTATTTTTATATCTTCTTTTGAAAAATGTCTATTCAAGTCCTTTCTCCATGTTTTAATCAGGTTATTTGTTATCTTGCTATTGAGTTGAGTTCTTTGTATATTTTGAATTCTATCTTCTTATTAGATGTATGGTTTGAAAATATTTTCTCCCATTCCTTAGGTTTCCTCTTCACTCTATTAATTTGATACGATCCCATTTCACTGCTTTTTCTTTTGCTGATTATGTTATCTAAAAAAAAATCATTGCCCAGAGCAATGTTGTGGAGATTTTCCCCTACGCTTTCTTCTAGTAGTTTCATAGTTTCAGGTGTTACATTTAAGTCTTTAATTCAGTTTGAGTTGGTTTTCATATGTGGTAAGAGATAAGAGAGGGTCCAATTTTATTCTTCTGCCTGTGGATATCCAGTTTGCTCAACACCATTTATTGAAGAGACTGTCCTTTCCTCATTGAGTATTCTTGGCATCTTTATTGAACATCAGTTGACCGTCAGTGTAAGGGTTTATTTCTGGGCTCTCAGTATTGTTTCATTAGTCATTACGTCTGTTTTTATGCCAGTACTATGTTGATTTGATTACTATATCTTTGTAATATATTATGAATCAGGTAATGTGATGCCTCCATCTCTGCTCTTTTTGTTCCAGATTGCTTTGGATATTCAGGATCTTTTGTGTTCCACATAAAAATGAAAAATGACATTGTAATTTTGATAGGGATTGCATTGAATGTATAGATTACTTTGGGTAATATGGATGTTTAACCAATATTAATTTTTCCAGTCTGTGAAGACAGGATATATTCCCACTTATTTGTATTTTTGTCAATTTCTTTCATCAGTGTTTTAGATTTTTTAATATACTGATGTTTTACCTTCAGGTTAAATTTACTTCTAACTATTATTTTATGGTATTACAAGTGGAATTGTTTTTTAGTTTCTTTTCAGGTAATTCACATTAACTTATAGAAATGTGACTTGCTTTTGTATGTAGGCTTTGTATCTTGAAATCTTCTGAATTTATTTATCATTTCTAGTAGGGTTTTTTCCTTTTTTGGTGTTGTCTTTAGAGTTCCCTACATACAAGATTGTGTTGTCAGCAACACAGACAATTTGACTTCTTCTTTGAATGGCTTTTATTTCTTTTCTTGCATAATTTTTCTGGCTAGAGCCTGCAGCCCTTTAACTAAATCCAAACTTCACAGAACAAATCCCTTAAATTCCTTTATTAAAATGATTGGTTCTGTAAAACAAACCAGGTCACATGTGGCCCCAAGGCATCAGGTTCACCACCTCTGTACATTGAAAAGAAGTGGTGGGAATGAGCATCCTCATCTTGTTCCTGATAATAGAGGAACTTCTTTCCACTTTTCACTACTGAGTATGACGTTAACTGTGAGCTTGTCACATATGCCCCTTTGTAATGTTGAAGTACCTTCCTTCTATACCTAATTTGTTAAGAGGTTCTTTTTTATGAAAAAGTGTTGAATTTTGTCAAAATATTTCTTTTGCTATTAATTGTATAGCTTTTGTCCTTCATTCTGTCAATATGATATATCACATTTATTAAGATAAATCCCACTTGATTATGGTGAATTATTCTTTTAATGTGCTGTCAAATAGGTTTTATTAGTCTTATGTTGAGGATTTTTACATCTATATTCATCAGGGATATTGGCTATAATTTTCTTTTCTTGTAATGTACTTTTATGGGTTTGGTATCAGGCTGGCCTTGTGAAATGGGTTTGAAAATGTTCCCTCAACGTCAAGTTTTTGGAAGAGTTTGACAAAGATTGGCATTAATTCCTCTTTACATGGTTGGTAGAATTCAGTATAAAACTGTCCACTTCTGAGTTTTTCTTTGACAGGAGACTTTCTATTTCCAATTCAATCTTTTTACTTATTATTGGTCTATTCTGATTTTCTACTGAGAAAAAATTTACTTTTCCAAAGTATTAATAACTAGATTCATTCCTATAAGTGATGAATTCTTGCATTTATGTAAATATAACTGAATTTAAATTCTCAATGTTTTTTACATAACATAAAGTACCAGTATAAACTATTTTTATTCAAGAAAAATGCAACCAAAGCATACAAGTAAAGTTTTCCAGTATATTGATTTTGTTGCCTTAGAGATATATGCCCTTCTTATCAAATGTAAAAATACTCTTGACAAAGAACTTTATCTCTGTCATTCTGTCTGTCTCTTCCTAAAGGAAAAAAAAAGGAATATAAATTGGGTAAGTAAAAAGTGAAAATTTTTAAAGTTGTTTCTATTTCTGCTACCAAAAGCTGCTATTGTTTAAATTGAAAAAGAAGATGAAATAGAGATTCCCTTTCCTCTAATCACTAGACTCATTCATATACCCAACTGTCTATGCCATATAGTTGGATACCTCATAAATGTCAACTCTTAATATTTCTTCCAAACCTATCTTCTTCCAGTGTTTCTCATCTCAATAAATAATTCAAGCCTGATTCCTGGGAATCACTCCTGAATTCCCTCTTTCCTCTCACCAATCCATCTCTAAGAGCCCATCTGATTCCTCCCAGTGCCTGAGTCTCCATTTTCCCTTACCAACATCAGGTCTTCTAGTCAAGTCTGTTCTATTTTCATGTACATCTTAAATTCCTCTACTTCTCTTTTTCCAATGCTACTTTTAGTCCAAGTCACCATCATCTACCCTATTATACTACTGAATTTGAAATTGTTTCCTACTACACTTAAATAAGGCCTTAAAATTCAGAGAAATAATATTCGAAACATTTAAGATACAATACAACAAAAAATATTCCCTTTTTTTTCTGAGAGTCTCACTCTAATGCCCAGGGTAGAGTATGTTTGCATTATCACTGCAACCTCAAACTCCTGGGCTCAAGCAATCCTTCTGCCTCAATCTGGGCTGACTTTTTTGTATTTTTTGTAGAGATAGGATCTCACTATGTTTCTAAGACTGGTCTCAAACTCCTGGTCACAAGCAATCCCTCTACCTTGCCCTCTCAATGTGCTATGATTACAGACATGAGCTAGGAATCATTCTTTACCTAAATATCATAAATAATGAAGTCTGAAAAAATGTTTTGCTATATGCTCAATTTTTAAACTGAAATGAATTTTAACAATAGACAAAGATAGCTATTTAATATTTTCAATCAAACATAAGAAAAACAAATAGGGCAGCACCTGTGACTCAAAGGAGTAGGGCACCAGCCCCATGTACTGGAGGTGGTGGGTTCAAACCAAAAACTGAAAAAAAAAAAAAAAAGAAAGAAAGAAAAAGAAAAACAAATACCTAAAAACAAGGCCAAATTAAAGGTGAATGGAGCTTTTTCCAAATGATCTATAGGCAAAATGCATTTTATAAAGGTACAAGGGAGATAATGGCCTATTAGCCAAAGAAAATTCCTAATAGTCTTGCCTAGTTTGCTCGTTAAAGGAAGCCCATATTGTGTTAGTTTTGATATTAGTTCTAATGGTGATGCTAATTTTATATGTGAAAGCATAAGCAGAAAACAAAAGTGTTTTCTTGTAGGAAATAGAAGTAAAATCAACCTCATGTTGTTACTTTCTTTTTTGTTGTTATTGTTGTTGTTAATACAGCTATTATGGTAAATAAACTAAATTTGAATCCTTAAAACATTTTATTCCAATAGCCTAAAACAGAATATCAACATCTTGATTTCTGAAACTCATAAGACACCAGCTGGAGATCCAGGTATACAGTATAGTACAGTTTCAAAATGTTCTAACTCAACCATATATGTCATTTCAGAAATAACAGAATTCTAATATGAAGGCAGTAGATGAGCTAATACAGGGGGTGGAGTAGGGGAAGGAGGGAATGGTGAGAGGGAGAAAGAATGGGGTGGGAGTTCATGGTGTATGGCACATCTCTTGGGGGTGGGACACAATTACAAGAGGGATTTTACCTAACAACCGCAATCAGTGTAACCTAATTCTTTGTACCCTCAATGAATCCCAAACAATTAAAAAAAAATAGCAAAATGAGGATTTTAACTGGTAATTTAAAATTTTAAAAGTTCTGAAAAACTATCCAGTGTCCTCTCAAACTATTCTGCCCTACTCAAAAAGCGGAATGGTTATAGTAGTGTAGTATTTATCTACTTTCCAGAAAGCTGATACTTGGCTTGTCAGTGGAACCATAGACTAAGTCCAGAAGTAATAGAAGGCAATCTCTCTAATCTGTTCTTTCCTGCTTTTAGAAATAGTACTAGGAGTTCTCAAATCATCCCATACATTAGTAACATGTGGACTTTCAGGAACCTCATCTTCAAAAGTTCTGACTCAATAGTTTTGAGAGCAGCAACACCATTTCTCAATGGGAAAAAATGGAGTAGCCCAGAGATAACAGTGGAAATGTAGAGAAAACCAGGCCACAAAATTCCTGCCAGAGGCAGATTTTGACTTTGTTTTTGTTTTAAGTTGCTATACCACCATTCCAAATAACCCTCTGGATGATCTTCATTTATGGAATATGCCTTCATTTTGATGACTTTAGTGCACAGAGATGCTTGCTACTTTTAGATCTTAAGTTATATTGGGTCTGTCATGCTTAGATGAACAGAGAATTCTCTGAGCTTTCATACTATTGCATTTGGCTATGATTGCAAAGAGATACTGTTTACCATGAAAATGTAAGGAAATATCCCAAAGTTGGTTTTCTTTCTATCAGAATAATTTCTTAAAAATGACAATATAGTAAAATTATATAATTTTCAAATTTCTTGACATCTTCAATCAAAAATAGTCTTAAAGTGATCTAAGTTTGTTTTTCTTTTTTGATCATAGATAATGCTACTAAAAAGCCAGAAGTTACAACTCATGAAAATTTTTCAAAAAATAATAGAAATGAAGGAATTATAGTCTCCTCAATAAATTTTAGCACCAGTATGACAGCTGCCAAAACCAAAGAGAAGATTCTTAAGAAGTTGATAAGGAGAGCTAAAGATACTCTTGGACCACCACAAAACAACAGGGTAAAACACCTCCCATAATAATATGCTGTTAAATAACATGCTTATATTGTTCAAGTGATAAATTATTTTAATTAACACTAATTTTAAAGATATGTGTAACATACACTCGTGAATATTCCTAGAACATGGCCTTTATAATGGAAACTTTGATTTTCAATCAATATAACTGAATTTCCAACGTGTTGAATTATGCTGACTCAGAATTATTAAAGTCAAAAGAAGCTAGTGAAATCTGAATTTAAAAATTGGAAAATTGCTTAGAGGCCAACTGTTTTTGATTGTATATTCTATCAATTTTTTTCCTATAACCATGGCTTCAGACTCAAGAGTCTCAATTCGATTATGAGCTTTTAAGAATTTGCTTCATATGTCCTTGATTTTAACTGAAGATATGGATGAACTTGCTGAGTCTTTGCATACCTGGGTAAACTTTAGAGATTTTGAAAGAGTTAATAATTGAACAATCTAATCACACTGATAGATTATTATATGCCTTGAGGTAGTTTTATTGGGGCTGAATCTGTTTGGTATTCTTTGACTTTCTTATACCTGAATATTCATATCTTTCTCTACATTAGAAATTCTCTGTTGCTATTTCTTTTAATAAACCTCTAGTCTGATCTCTCTCTCTCCACATCCTCTTTAGCGATTCTTAGATTTGCTTTTTTGAGACTTTTTAGTAGATCCTGTAGATATGCTTCATCCTTTGGTCTTTTTTTCTTCTCATAGAAGAGTTCTTAGTTCTTTCTTCTGCTTGATCACTTCTACTTTTGAGAGACTCTGTAGCATTTTTCAGTTTTTCAAATTGAATTTTTCAACTCCAGAATTTCTGCTTGAATTCTTAAAATTATTTTAAGCTCCTTGTTAAATTTCTCTGATAGAATTCTGAATTTTTCTCTCCGTTATTCCAAAGTTCACTGAACTTCCTCAAGACAATTATTTTGAATTCCTTAAATGACAAGTCATATATCTGTGGCACTTGAGAATTGGTCACTGATGCCTTATTCAGTCCATTTGGTGAAATCATGCCTTCTTAGATGTTCTTGATGCTATAGACATATGTCAATGTCTGGACATTGAACAGTTAGGTATTTATTTCCATCTTTTCAGTCTGGGCTTGTTTGTACCCATCCTTCTTAAGACTTTCTTAAGATACCTTTCCATGAATTCAAAGGGGATTAAGTGTTATGACCTAAGCCTACAGTCACTGCAGCCACTCAGCAGTAGAGAGCACCCTAAACCCAGGAATGCTGCAACTCTTACAGACCCCTAGATACACAGCTTTGGTGGACTTGAGTATGATAAATGAGAATTTCTTGGATTACCAGGCAAAGTCTCTCATTCTTGTCCCTCTTTTTCTCCCAGTCAGAAGGATCACTCCAAGCTAAGCTGTTTAGAGTTGGGGAAGGGGTGATATAGGCCTCCTCTGACCTCCACAGTTGGCACTGTGTAGGACCACGCCTGAACCCTTGCAGACCAACACAATATTAGAGCTTGCCAAAGGATCATGCCAATAGAAAACGCAAGCAAGAGAAATTTCAGTCACTTTGTGATAGAATAGAGCGGAAACTGAATGTCCTAATTTAAAAAAAAAATACAGACAGTTACAAATTAGATAATTAAGTAGATCAAACAAAAGGCTATTTATGTTTTTCTAAGAAGTACCTGGTTTACAAAAATAAATACAATCTAAAGGGGCTAATACAGAGATTACAATCAGTATACTTCAGCATATAGTATAAAGGTGGGAAGTAACACAAGTTTAAAAATTAAAAATATGTCTGAATGTTTTGTTTATTGTTCATGACAACAGCATTTGAAGCAGAATTTTAAAAGTCTAATTCCAGATAATAGTCTTATTCCCAAACCAGGGTACATGTGAATTAAAGCTAAATACCCACAACAGTGCCTTGCCAATAGTAGGCACTTAGAAAATAGATATTGAGTGAATAATAGCAACATTCCAGTGTAATAGCCACAGTTATATTTCATTTCTAACTATTATCAGACGTAATTATTATAGATCTATAGAGAGTGAGTTGAATTTCTATTTTTAAAACTTGTTTTCTGGCTCGGCGCCTGTGGCTCAAGTGGTTAAGGCGCCAGCCACATACACCTAAGGTGGCAGGTTCGAATCCAGCCCAGGCAGCCAAAACAACAATGATGACTGCAACCAAAAAATAGACAGGCACTGTGGCGGGCGCCTGTGTTCCCAGCTACTTGGAAGGCTGAGGCAGGAGACTTCTTAAGCCCAGGAGTTGGAGGTTGCTGTGAGTTGTGATGCCATGGCACTCTACCCAGGGGGATAGCTGGAGGCTCTATCTCAAAAAAAACAAAAACAAAAAAAACTTGTTTTCTAACATCATATTTTCAAAATAATATTTGATCTACAGGTTTTTGTTGTTGCTGTTGTTGTCATTGTTATTGTAGTTGTTATTGTTGTTTAGGTGATCCAGGCTAGGTTCAAACCCCCCAGCCTGGGTGTATGTGTCTGGCACCCTACCCACTGGGCTACAGGCACCACCTGATCTGCAGGTGGGGGGGTTGTTTGTTTGTTTGTTTGTTTTTTGAGACAGAGCCTCAAGAAACTGAGTACTGGGTAGAGTACCATGGCATCAGAGCTCACAGCAACCTCCAACTCCTAGGCTCAAGCAATTCTCCTGCCTCAGCCTCCCAAGTAGCTGGGACTACAGGCACCTGCCACAATGCCCAGCTTTTTTTTTGGTTGCAGCCATCATTGTTGTTCAGCAGAACTGGGCTGAATTCAAACCTGCCAGCTCAGGTGTATGTGACTGGTGTCTTAGCCACTTGAGCCATAGGTACCAAGCCTGATCTGCAGTTTTTAATAGAAAAATAGACATCATATATAATTTTGTTCTTACCCCATAGCATAATTAATATTCTTAATTCATAATTTAAAGAAAAGTATTATTTGCTATATTTTAAACCTTACTAATTAATATGTTTTAAAATCTTTTGTCTTTAAGATTATAATATTCATTGATGATGTGAATATGTCAACAACAGATAGATATGGAGCAGATCCACCCTTGGAATTGATAAGACAATTATTAGATTTGGGAGGAGTTTATGAAACTGGAAAAAATGTATGGAAGGTACAGCATACTAAGTTTTGTTCTCATTAAATACTGTTGCTTATAATGAATTAAATATTTATAGCAATGTTGAATGAATAAAGGGAGAAATATAGATAGTCTAGCCATATGTACATGTTAAGCAAAGTTGAGACCTTAAATTAACCAAGCCAATTAGATCTTTGCAATTGAGGCCTGGAGGGTTATAGAAACAGAAATTCTAATTTTAATCAGTTTAAATCTTACTAAGAATTGCAAATATGTCCTAGAGATTTAGTTTCTATGTCTAATGCTCACTATTATTAACTGTATTAATAGTTGATCAAATTTTTCAATGCATCAAACTTGAGTTATAGAAAAGCTATTAAAAATGTGGCCTACCAAATACATCCTTAATCTCTATGTAAGCCCCATGTACATCTTTATTTTCAAAAACATAGATCAAAGATTAATAGAAGTATTGTAAAATCAAAACAGTTCTCAAGAGGGTAATCCTGTGAAATTATCTTTGTTACATTGAACTAAATCAGAATTACTTAAGTTTTTTTTTGTTTTTTTTTTTGTTTGTTTGTTTGTTTAGTCACAGGTACTATTTATTTTTTGGCAAGTAAATTTCTATGAATCTTTTTTTTCTTTCTTTTTTTTTATTAAATCATAGCTGTGTACATCAATGCAATCAATGTGCTGGGGTACATGTACCCCCCCCCCAATGTGTGGAGTACAATGTGCTAGTTTTACACACCATCTGAAATGCTTTCATCAAACTGGTCAACATAGCCTTCATGGCATTTTCTTAGTTATTGTGTTAAGACATTTATATTCTACACCTAGTAAATTTCAATGTACCCTTATAAGATGCACTGTAGGCTTAAGTTTTCAGGGAAAAAAAATATGCAAATGCACTTTTCTCCCTGTTTAGTTCCTTCTCTGTAAATCATAAGACATGTTTCAGAACTGACTCTACCACTCAGACATTCTGGGGCTCATGTTACTCATTTGTAAAATTAAATGGTGGCATTACAGTTTCATATCTCAAGCAAACTTGAGCCTCTGATGCTAAACGAGGTACACTGGCTTGTGAGTACCATCAGCTCAGATAGCAGAAAGGAAGAATACAGATGCAGCCTACCAGGGAGAATCCAGTAAACTATAAAAAAAGAGAAGGCAGAAAATAGGTTCTGGCTATACCTGGCCAGGTTTCCTGTACTGACCAGAAAGCAGACCTTTCATGGGATTTCTGTGGCCTTGGGCAGAAGCAGAAATAAAGCTATGCAAAGAACTTTATTGTGAGTTGACTAAATTATCTGTGTTGATTTCACCCATCGATAGAAAGCTATGATGTTGTAGTATTGCAGATGACCATTACGTAGTATTCTGTTAACAGTCAAACATCTTCCACCTCAAGCCAATCCTGGCCATTTTGAAGACACACTCAATATTGATTATTTTCCAATGATTTCTTTTAAAAATGAGCTATTTCCCTATCTCATTTAGGAAACCTCCTAAAAGTAACATGTGTTGAAATTGTATTTTAAGTTGGGTTACTTCCAAAGCTATAGATTTCTATTACCATTGCAATTTTTGTTTTGCAGTAAATAGTAATCTTAATCTTTTTGTCTACATGTTTTTAAAGCTTTTGTTCATTTGGGGCAAGGAAGTAGATATATAGTTCACTTCCTACAGATATGTTTAGTTGTTCTTCCATTTTATTCTTTCCACAGACTATTCAAGATCTCTCAATAGTTGCAGCTTGTTTTCCTCTAGGTGGTGGGAATGATGTCAGCCCACGTCTTCTCAAACATTTTTCTATACTAGTAATGCCTCACCCTTCACCAGGTGCCTTACGTACGATTTTCAAGGTAATACATCTAATTCATTTTCTACTGAAAAAATTAATTCTATAAAATGGGCAATTATGTGAAAATGTAAATCCTCTAATAATGAAAGAAAATTCTCCTAAGAAGGTGGATTTTATTTCTGACTGTACTTTCGGGCCTTTTGTTATAATTTGTCTTTATACATCAAAGCATAATTTATTGTGCATAAAAAAACACATGTGGTGCCTATTTAACGCATGTTTAAAATGCAGATCTCAGGACTTTATTCTCAGAGATTTTGATTCAGTATATCTGGGATAAAGCTCAAGTATCTTCATTCTTCACCCTGATTTTTGCTAGAGTTGATTTGCTCGTTTCATTTTGTTATAGAGTAAAATATACACTTACTATTACCTCTGTCTAGATTGGCACACTATCTTCTAAAACAGGATTTTCTTTCAAGTGTAAACTATTGATTACTTACATCAAAATTAGTAAATGCTTATTAAAAATTGATTTTAAAAAGTCAGCTTTAAATTTTATAAAGAAGAAAGCGCAAGATTCATTTTGGAGAATTTGGTAATCTCATATAAGTTTTTTTTCTTTTTTCTTATTAATATGAGGGTATGTACAATCAGGCTACATTGATTGCATTTGTAAAGCAAAATCTAAGTTGTAGCTACAACTCTCACATGGAAAATATGCCATATACCTCCTCATTGTTCTCACTGGATGATTTATTTTTCTAATCACACTAGATTTCAAGTTGAACCCTTTTTCTAGTAAGTTATTTCAGAACTTTTAGAAGAAAATATACCTATATACCATTCCAGACTGAGATGATAGTTCTGTCACTTTATACTTCTTTTTAATAATATCTACTGAGGAGAAATGAAATGGAAGAATTCCCAACACATCTAGTTTATACAGAGGTAAAGCATAAATTGCCTGCAGAACAATCACATGCTTCTACACAATTCATCAAAGTTGGACCAATTGAAATTTTTCCCAGTTTGCAACAACCAAAATTTCTTTTTATAGTCCACCATCATGTTTTATTTTATTTTTGCAAAGTACCCATATTTTTTTTTATTTTTGTTCTCATTTAATCTGACATGCAGGATATAGATACATATATACATATATCTCACATGTATATGCATATCTATACTATATATTTTCTTTAATTGTTGGAGATTCATTGAGGATACAAAGAACCAGGTTAACATGGATTGCATTTGTTAGGGAAAGTCCCTCTTATAATTGTGTCCCATTCCCAAAAGGTGTGTCGCATACCATAACCTCTGACCCCTCTTCTTCCTTCCCTCTCTCTGCCTTTTCCCACCCCACCCCCTGTGTACTAGGTCGTTAATTGTCCTCATATCAGAATTGAGTACATAGGGTTCTTGCTTCTCCATTCTTATGTTGCTTTATTAAGAATAAGGTGTTCCACTTCCATCCATGTTAATACAAAGGCTGTAAAGTCTCCATCTTTTTTAATGGCTGAAGAGTATTCCATGGTATACATATACCAGGGCTTGTTAATCCATTCCTGGTTTGGTGGGCATTTAGGCTGTTTCTATATTTTGGCAATTGTAAATTGAGCTGTAATAGACAGTCTAGTGCAAGTGTCCTTATGATAAAAGGAACTTTTTTCTTCTGGGTAGATGCCCAGTAATGGGATTGCAGAATCAAATGGGAGGTCTAGTTTGAGTTCTTTGAGGTTTCTCCATACTTCCTTCCAAAAAGGTTGTATTAGATTGCAGTCCCACCAGCAGTGTAAAAGTGTTCCCTTCCCTTAATACTCCTTCAATTCCTTAAGCTCAAATATATCCTCTCTTATTTCATCAGGTCTTTCATTCATTTCTGAGGGCAATTTTTCAATTTTCATGAGGTTGTTATCCAGTTTCCCTACAATTCCCTTCATCATTTTTTCCACTGATACTCTAAATTCCGTTTCTATCATTTTTATAATTTCTTTATCCACAGAATCCGTTTGTAATTGCTGCCTTGTGATCCCTTGGGGGGGATTGATCTGTTCTGGCATTTCATATTGGCAGAATTTTTTTGTTTGTTCCTACTCATATGTGTTTTCTTCTTGTTCGCGTCCTTCCTCTTCTTTCTCCTCTCTCTTCCTCTTTTTAATTTTCCTTGTCTCTGTGCTGGGGTGATGGAGTGCCTATTTCCTGACTCTCAGAGTGTCCTTGTGTCCCCTCAATGACTCTCCCAGAACCTGCAGGTAACCAGGGTCACAGAGGCTGCAACCAAGAAACATAAGGCCTCCAGGAAATGCAACAGCGGAGAGAGGAGCATCTCAGCTTACCTTTTCAGGCGCACTATCCTGTTTTAAATGGATTTTACTTTTAATAATTCTACTGAAATTAGTCCTACATTATGGTAAAAAAAAAAATCTGCTTTTTGGTAAAGTGTAACCAGAAATAGTCTATCTTAAAATATTGGACAAACTAATTTATAGCATTTCTTTTTAAAGATTCACTTGGGAACGTATTTCTCCACCAATAACTTCACAGCTGATGTTCAGAAAAGTACAATTCAGATAATATCTTGCTGCCTAGCTATATACCATCAAGTACGTCAGAATATGTTACCAACTCCAACAAAATGTCACTACATGTTTAATCTTCGAGATTTGTTTAAGGTTTGTTCCAAAATTAATTCTCTAGATACTTTGTATTCCTTTTTTTACAATTATTATCTCAGGATATTAGGGGGTACAAGTGTTTTTGTTACATGAATGAACTGTATAATGCTGAAGTTTGAGCTGTTAGTGTACCCATCACTAGAACAGTGTATGTTGCACCCAATAGCAAGTTTTTATCCCTTACCCACCTCCCACGTTCTCCATTCTTAATTTCCAATGTCCTTTATACCACTTTAAGACTATACATACCCAGTATTTACCTCTCAATTATGAGTGATAACATGCTGTATTTGCTTTTCCATTCCTGAGATACTGCCCTTAGGATAATGGTTTCTAGTTCCATCTAAGTTACTGCAAGTGAAATTATTTTATTCCCTTTTATGCCTGAGATATACTCCATGATAATTATAAGTCCCACATTTTCTGTATCCACTCATCAACCGACGGGCACTTAGGTTTTCACATCTTTGCAATTATGAATTGTGCTGTGATAGTACATTCACAGGTGTATTTTTGCTGTTAACAGCTTCTTTTCCTTTGGCTAGATACCCAGTGGTGGGATTGCTGGATTGAGTAAGAGGTCTACTTTTATTTCTGTAAGGAATCTCTATAGTGTTTTCCATAGAAGTCGTACTAATTTATAGTCCTACTAATAGTGTATAAGCATTCCTATTTCACCACATCCACACCAATGTCTTTTGCTTTTGATTTTTGGTTTTTTTAATAATGGCCATTTTGATAAGAATAAGGTAGTATCTCATTTGGTTTTAATTTGCATTTCCCTGATGATTAGTAATGCTGAGCTTTTTTTCATGTGTCTGTTGGCCATTTATGTATCCTTTGAAAAAATTCTATTCATGTCTTTTGTCCACTTTATAATGGGATTTTGTTGTTGTTGTTCTTGATGATCTGGTTGAGTTCTTTGTAGATTTTGGATAGTCGCCCTTTGTTGGATGCATTTTTAATTTAATTAAGTCCCATTTATTTATTTAGTTATTTGGGTTGCTATATTTGCCTTTGGAGTCCTAGTCATAAATTCTTTGCCTAGATTAATGTCTAGAAGAACTTTGGTTTCTTCCAGAATTTTTATTGTTTCATGTCTTTAATCCATCTTGAGTTAATATTTGTACATGATGAGAATTAGGGATCCTATTTCATTCTTTCATTGAGGATCCTATTTCATTCTTCTGTATGTGCTATCCAGTTTTTCAGCACCATTTATTGAATACGGCATCTTTTTCCCATCCTTTTGTCTGCTTTGTCACAAATCAGTTGGTAATAGCCATATAGATTTATTTCTAGGTTCTATATTCTGTTTCCATGGTTAGTGTCTCTACCTTTATCCCAATACCATGCTATTTTAGTTAGCTGTTTTAGCCCTTTGTTGTAGCTTGTAGTTAGATAATGTGATGCTTCCAGATATGATCTTTTTGCTTAAGATTACCTAGGCCATTTGGGCTCTTTTTTCATTCCTTAGTAAGTTTAGAATTATTTTTTCTAGACAAGTGAAAAATGACATTGGTATTTTAATGAGAATTGCATTGAATCTGTAAATCATTTTAGTCGGTATGGACATTTTAACAATGTTGATCCTTCTATTCCATGAGCATGGGATGTGTTTCCATTTGTTTGTGTCATCTATGATTTCATTCATTAGTGCTTTTATAGTTCTCCTTGTAGAGATTTTTCACTTCGTTGGTTAAGTATTTTCCTAGGTATTTTATTTTCCTTATAGCTATTTTAATTGGTATTGAATTCTTGACTTTACTCTGAGCTTGATTGTTGTTATAATAATATATTGAAATGCTACTGATTTGTGTACATTGATTTTGTAACACGAGACTTTGGTGAATTTATTTATCAATTCTAGGAATCTTTTGTTAGAGTCTTGAAGGTTTTCTAGATAAAAGATCATATTGTATTGCCTCCTCTTTCCCAGTTGGGATGCCCTTTATATCTTTCTCTGGCCTGATTTCTGAGTAGTATTCCATACACATCATATTTTCTTTATCCATTCATCAGGTGATGGACAATTAGGTTGATTCCATATTTTTGCAATTGTTAATTGTGCAGTGATAAACACTTGGGTACAAGTGTCTTTTTTGTTGAAATGACTTGATTTCCTTTGGGTAGATAACCCAATAATGAGATTGATAGATCAAAAGGTAGGTCTAGTTTTAGTGCATTGAAGAACCTCCATACTATTTCCCATAGAGGTTATACTAATTTAGAGAACCATCAACAATGTATAAACATTCTTTCTTCATACGATACATGCCAACATCTTTTTTTTTTTTTTAATAATGCTCATTCTGAAAAAGGTACAATAGTATCTCACTGTGGTTTCAATTTTTTTTTCCCTGATGACTAGTGCTATGGAACATTTTCTCCTATCTTTGTCAATCATTTATATACCTTCTTTTTTTTCTATTTTTTAAATTTGTTTTTATTGAATCATAGCTTTGTACATTAATGCAGTCATGGGGTACAGCGTGCTGGTTTTATATACAATTTGAAATATTTTCACCAAACTAGATGACATAGCCTTCATGGCATTTTCTTAGTTATTGTGTTAAGACATTTATATTCTACATTTAGAAAGATTCACAAGTACCCTTGTAAGATGAACCATAGGTGTGGTCCCACCAATCACCCTCCTTCCACTCATCCTCCTCCCTCCCCTCCCCTGCCTCTCCTCTTTCCCCATATTCTTGAGCTATAATA